TGGCCAGGCTGGTTTTGAACTCCTGATCTCATGATCCACCCGCCTTGGCCTCCCGAATTGCTGCCACTGCACCTGGTCCAAGTACCTGACCTTTTAAGTCCCCACTGGCTGAACATAAAAGTACTGAAAAATGTGTAAATATTTCCACTTGCCAGTCTTCATTACAACCTTCAGAACAACCTATCTAAACTGCAGAAACCAAGTGCTTCCCTCCAGCATCAGATTACGGTTTCCAATCTTCCAAGTATACACAGTACAGACACTCCACGTTCTAAGAGGATGGAGGCTGCCCATCGAGCGGAGAGGAGGAAGTACAGAGCATAACCACACGTGCTGCTGCTATGCCGCGCTGCCCTGTGGGATGTGGGCTCCAAATGCCACGGGTGAGCGGGGGTAATGGGAAAGACGACACCATGACAGGTGGGGCAACTGAGGCTTCAAGTTTGCCACACTCCCTCGTTTCTTCCAGGAGCAATCAGATAGCGTACTTCAATTTGAAAACATTATACATCTCAATGTAATTAAGAAATTTCGACTGGCATGAATATGTAATGTACACATTGCTTTACAGATGCCTTTTTTGCCCGGCAGGCTGGTGCCGACTTGAATTTGGAAGAAATCCATTTTCATACAAAGGTAACCAAGAGTGACAGGAAATAGGAAGCCTACATCATTTATCTTCTGTGAACTTTAGAAAAAATCAGTTAATTGCTTTTCTAGGAAGCTATTTTGCGGAATCACGGTGCTTCATCTTTCTATTCTTTTTCATGGCATAAACGGCGATTTTAAAATGTCCTTCATGAAAATGCTGTGATTAATCAATACATCTTAGACTATTTAATTACTTATTTTAACAAATAGAATTGTGATCAACCATAAACGGTTTCTCTGTTCTGTAGATGAATTAACAACTGCTACAAAAACTCCTAGGATACCAGAGTCTACTGATATTGATATTCAAATTCAGGTGTCTATTTCCTTACCACTGACTAAGCTATGGGCACCAGCTCCTGGCTTCCTTTGCTCCCCTGGTTTGTCAAATGAATTCTGTTCCCAGAGCTGGAGCCCTCTACAACAGCAGTTTCAAACTATCACTACTTATTAAATCACAAACAGAAAACTCAAATATGTAGGTTTTGGAATATAATGCTGAAGCTGTAACTTGTCAAACTACTGACTGCAAGGCCCAGGACACTCCTGTGTCGCCTCAATGGCTCTGCAAGTAAGGTTTCTCACAGCACTGTCCTATTTTGTGCCTTGCCCCCATCACCTAACATATAGATATATATTTTTAAATTCTACCAAGTTTGAGGCTAATATAACTTCTTTTAAATCTAAAATGACCATCTTCGTAATGATTTTATATTATTACATGAGCTCAAGACAGATACACTACGAAGTTAATGATGCTTAAACTTCAGGGTCTTTAAGGCCCTGGGAGTAGGAGGGGGGCGAGCAGCACTATGTTAACACTGTTACAGGTTTTTGAAATAACTGCAAGGGTGAGATCTTTCCTACTCTTTTATTCCTAAAGAAGATCCCTGAGACTATGCAAATTTGAGGTCCCACAACACTGTATCTACTCCTCTAGGTTAACTCTCCCCAATGTTTGGATCTGGAATTAAATGCTGAGCACAAAATATTAGTGTGTGTGTGTGTGTGTGTGTGTGTGTGTGTGTGTGTGGGTGAAAGAGAGAGAGAGAAACAAAAAATAATTCGCTTCAATTGGAAATAAAATTCAGTGTGCCATGCCCCAGAAAATTCTAGAGGGCATGCTTTGGCCATTCATTCCTCCCTGGTCTCTCACCTAACCGTAGACACCTTTCCAAGGGGCACTCCCAGGGAGACTCACTTAATGAGAGGTGCTGTTCAGAATAAAAGACTCAGCTATAACAACAAAAATATGTTTTTCATTAAACACAAAACTGAGTCGGGAAAAGCCAGCCAAGAGGCAGGTGTATGAGTTACGGAATTCTCTTGAGGTCTTTAACTTCCACATCAAATTGCACTGGAGTTTTCTGCACTAATTACCTATTATTGAAGACTCAGGAATTACTGCAAATAATTTGCCATAGCAGCAGATAGGGTGCAGATGTTGTAAGGGAAAGAATGAAGAGTTTATGAAGTGTAAAACCAGGAAAAGAAATTCAAAATTTCCCAATTTCAAAAAATAATACAGAATTGTTTTTCTACTATAAGGGTGATGAAGGTGAGGGAATTTTCCGAGGGCTAAAAGGCCAATTTTAAATTTAATTTGGACTGTAAATGAAAGAAACTGCAAATTAAAAGGTATGTGCTGGAGTCTAATTTATTCAGTTAATGTAAATTTCCTCAAGGCAGAGATTACATCTTACATTAAAAAAAAAAATTCTCTCATCGCATTGCACCTGGTCATTGATCTGATTTTCTTATGAGGAATGTACCTATACAATGCGAAACAGCTATCTTTGCATGGCCCTCCTTGTTTTTTATGTCATTTTTATCTAACCTTTCCAGCCCCCAAATTTTTTACACTGTGATAAGTCTTGCTCTGTAGCTAACATCCTGAAAAACCATAGTCAAGTAATGACCTTTGGGTCATTTTCTTTAGAAATTTCCCTAGAAAACACCTTCTCTACCTCACTGGAAATTAATATCTGTACTATTAAGAGGAAACTTTCACACCAGCAGTATCTTTATTTTTAAAAACATTGGCATGGATATTTTTGAAATTGTCACTTTAAATTGTTTTACCTCTTTCAAAAAACAAAAATATTTATTCCCTCAAAAGTAAAATCGGGTTGATAAAATTATTCAGCTTCTATGTTATGATTGTGAATCTTATTTATTTATTTGTTTTTTGGATAGAGGAGGTCTCATTATGTTGCCCAGGCTGGTCTTGAACTCTGGCCTCAAGCAATCCCAAAGTGCTGGAATTACAGGCATGAGCCACCTCACTTGATTGTGCATTTTATCGGAATAGCCTATAAACATTGAACAATGTACCTGCAAAAGAGTATTTCTTAATATTCTCTTGGAATACTGTCAACAAAAACCTAAGTTTGAAGGGTAGGAGAAGTTACTTACTACTTGGCTGCTAACTGTGAAATAGTCATTTTTTTACTGTGGGAGTGGGTTGATTAAACAGACAAGTGTTATAAGATTCAAATTACAATATTTTTTCTAATGTGCTTTTTACTAAAATAAAGATTGCACCCTCTTCACCAAAAGAAAAAAACCACCAATTTTTAACTTTGTTCTACAAATACCACCTCTTATCTCTTCTCTATCAAAGCATGATTGGCCTTTTTGAAATATTCAGGACAAAATGTTAGGAAGAGGGCAGGCTCGCTAGTTCAATGTCACTACATATAGGGGAAATGGAACACTTCCCATAGAAAAGCTCTGATTTCTCTCAGCATGAGCCTCTATCTAAGGTATCCCCTTCTCTCTCTGCTAACCGAACACCATACACAGCATGTTCTTTCCTATCTGAATCCTCAAACGGCATCCTGAAAGTGTCCAGGTTATTAATGACATACCCAAAAGCCTCATAAAATGCACAGTTATCTGCTTAAGGCTTTACTGGCAATCAAAAATTCATCTTTTTTGTTTTAACTAGAGTTTTACGAACTCACTGAATTCCAAAATAAATAAACAAACAAGTAAATTATTACCTAATAAATCAGAAGTTTCTTTGGTAGATAAAGACCATTTTAACAAGAAGTCAATTGAGATTGAAATAATGAAGGGATTCCTGGTGGTTGTAAAAGTCAGTCACCACTGCTCAAGGATAAGCCAGGATTTATTTGCCACTACCAGTCATTTGATGATGATGAATCAAATAGCCTGACGAATTCAGTTTTGTAAGGTGATATTTATGTGTGTTTCCTACAAACTTAAAAATATAAATGCCTATAGAAATTACACTTTGCTTCCATTAATTCCTAGTGAACATTTTCTAGAATCTATCATAAATGTGTAACCAAAAAAAAGTTATTGGTATACACTTCACTTAATTTTCTCTACAAAACCAGTGTAAACATCTCACAGATTAAAAAAGAGGTCTTCTGTAAAGGTGATGTGTTGATCTCCCTACCAGTCCATGGTGATTTCTGAGACTGACAGTTCAGAAATGTTTAAGCTCACCCTTGTCAGAAATGCAACAAAATCTGTCAAATCATTGATTTCATTTGGTTATTAAATCAAATTAAGATACAAAGATATTCTGGCCACATTGTTACTCTGTCTTTAAAGAATACGTTAAAAAGAGAAAAAAAACTGAACAGTTCCTAAGTATAATGTTCTAGAACTCATATTTTAGTTAGTATAACATATCACAGCAAAAAATATATATGCATGATCATATTTTTTTCTTCATGTACTCTTCACAATCATCATCAATTTGGAATATAGTCTGAGACAGGACGGGATTTCCAAACCATGTAACAGGATTTCCAAACCATGTGAACAATTCACCATATTCAATGTTGAATAATTAAAACAATTAATTTTAAAACTATTATGAGGTTTACCTGGTAAAATTTGTGTTAAAATATTTCAAAACACAAAAATGTTAAAAGTTTTGGAACTCGTTTATATAAAAATTTACCTGTTTAGATACTAAAATTTTAGGCTTTAAGTACTTTTCTTATTTCTTAATCACTTATTCACTCATTTCTTAATTTTATTTATACTTCAGTGGATACCAGCTGTTCAGAAGAAAACCCTTGAACTACACTGAAAGGGAGATTCGTTCCTTCCCTAACTAATACATACCCCTAACTAATACATACATACACAACTGCATTTGCCAAAACTTTAAAAATTCCAGTTACAATAAATTTGAGATTTTAAGAAATCATTATTTAAATCTGCCTCCCCTTTTAGTGACTGCTACAAATCCTACCACATAAAGCCAACCACATCACTGAAAAAAAAATAAACGTGGAAACTGAATTCACAAAGGTCATCACTTGTAACTACGCAGTTGCACGTACACGGTGCTGAGAAAGACTCACCTCCCCCTGCTTGGGGATGCTGAACTTGGAGAGCTTGGCCTTGGCTCTGGCCGGCTCCGGCTTGCTGGCGGGAACTCCCCTGTATGATGTGCAGTGCACACTGGTTTCCGAAGATGACTTCAGCTTGGGAGACTCATCGGGGGCCTGATCTTGGCCATCCATCGGCCGCACATATGCAGTCGGTTTCTGCTGGACCAGGCTGGGTTTTGAAGCTAGGGATGGAGGAAAGTTCTGAACACAGTGTCCACTGTTGCTGTGCTTGGCTGCCATGGCAGGTGGCCTCTCCTGGGTCTGAAGGCCCACCTCCACATTGCACACTTGTTTGGCCCGCGGCTGCTGTCTGCCAACACCATCTCCAAGCAAGGTCCTGAGAGAGCCCTGTTGTGCTGAGTTGGAAGAAGAAGAAGAGGAAGATGAGGATGAGGATGAGGGGCTCGATACATGGGGATATTCTTTTTTTATTATGGTTCTCTGGGTTTTAGCAGATTTGTGCAAATCAAGCAATCTGTGGCCATGCTTACTTGCTCTCTGTTGGCCATCTGAGGGTGGATGCCCAGCCTTCTGCCAGCCCATGGTGCCTCTCTTACTCTGCTGCACGGGGACAGCTGCTGGTGTGGAAGTTGTAGTGCTACAGATAGATGAGGGCTGGGTCTGGGCTCTTGAGTCTGCAACAAAGTGTTCATCGATCTTGTTCACAGGAGTCTGAGGAACCCCAGGTTTGGGAACACCAACAAGATGACTCTGATTGGATCTATCAGTTAAAAAGTCTTTCATTTCATCATAATTGCCTAAAGTGTTCTGGATCCGGTTAGAGAGTTCATCCCCCTTGTTAGTCTGGAGAAAGAAAAACACATCCACACTATTGTTAGAGACAACAATGGACAAGTGCCCTTATCTATCACAGAGCCAGAGGTGCCACATGTGGAATGAGATCTGAGAGAGAAAATCGAAATCTTTATCGTTTCTGAAGATGTCTGTCAACACTTGGAATGGCACCAGAACAGGAAGCCTGTAACAGCCTTGGGGTGCATGAAAGGGGATCTATCCGGCCAGGCATGGTGGCTCACACCTATAATTCCAGCACTTTGGAAGGCCAAGGCAAGTGGACCACATGAGGTCAGGAGTTTAGACCAGCCTGACCTACAAGGTGAAACCCTGTCTCTACTAAAAGTACAAAAATTAGCCAGGTGTGGTGGTGAGTGCCTGTAGTCCCAGCTATTCGGGAGGCTAAGGCCAGACAATCATTTGAACCTGGGAGGTAGAGGTTGCAGTGAGCAGAGATCATGCCACTGCACTCCAGCCTGGGCAACAGGAGACTCAGTCTCCAAAAAAATAATGATCTATCCTTGGTATTGTGTGTGTTACAGCTAAAACAGATTGCCTGGGAATCAGGAAAATTAATTAATACAACTTTAAAAAATGATCTGCATTAAGTCTTTCTATGATTGGACTATCTTGTATTTGTAGTCCCATTAGAAGCTTTACTTGAAAATGCAGATTTGGCTCAGGATTGGTATAAATATCATTATTGCCAGAAATCCAGAATGACAGGCAAGAGATGTCAATGTGAAGCTTAAAGGCACATGGGACTAAATGTGCAGGAAGTCTGAATGACCCAGAGCTCCATGCAGCCTAAGATATTTGTGAAATCTGGGACACTTCATTTTGGAACAGATGTTATTATTTCTGGCCTTTGGTAAAAATGAGAAATAATCTTAGAATTTCTTTCTCATTAGCCCTTAAATAGGTACTCTAATCCTAGCATGATCCACACATGACAAGTATGTAACCCAACCCTCTTCTTGCTTTTGTTTTTGTTTTTGTTTTTGTTTTTGAGATGGAGTCTTACTCTGTCGCCAGGCTAGAGTGCAATGGCATCATCTTGGCTCACTGCAGCCTTCACCTTCCAGATTCAAGTGATTCTCCTGCCTCAGCCACCCAAGTATCTGAGATTACAGGTGCCTGCCACCACACCTAGCTAATTTTTGTATTTTTTTAGTAGAGACATGTTGGCCAGGCTGATTTCCATCTTCTGACCTTGTTATCTGCCTGCCTCGGCCTCCCAAAGTACTGGGATTACAGGCATGAGCCACCATGCCTGGTCCCCAAGCCCCTTCTAATAGTGTTTGTTTCCTACAATCTAAGAAAACGTAACAAATGGGATTGACCTTGATATGTCAACATAGAGATAAAGTCTGTATTGACAAAAATCACAACAAGCAGATCTCAATAATAAACAAAAGTTGCAAGTTACTGAAGGAGTAGCCAGTAAAGACATGTGAACCAGACACCTCGATTTCTGGGGGAAGACCCTGTACTTGGCAGCTGAGCTGTCTTCCCTGGGCTGAACAGACAGGAGATTCAGTGAAGTTTGGTTGGTCAATTCTTTTAGTAGAGGCCACCATCATAGGGAGGGAGAGGAACAAGTGAGGGGTGGAAATGAACAACTGAAAACCATCTACCTTGTAGGGCTCGCTGAAGAGAGAGTAACTAGAATTAAACGTGCCATCATCCTGTTGAGTTTCTTGATTTCTTCTTTCCCGTTCTTTTCTCCGTAATGCATTTCTATCTGGTTCATAGACACTGCATCAGGAGAAAGAAGTACAGAACAACCACAGGCACAAATTAAACTTTAAAGCCCAATGTAACACTCATGTGAGTACAGAAGTCTGGTTCATGGACAAATGATGACAACAGGAACATGGATGAGACTGAAGCCAGCGTAATCGGGCAGTGTGCTGGGGTGTCTGACAATTACATTCTTTGGGGGAAAAAGAATCCTTAGGACCAGTTCCAACTGGTACTAGGTTTCTTTTCCTGGTATGTGAAAGAGGAACTATCTAAGCAACTTTGACAGGAGAAGACTGAAAGTAATCTTAAGGCAGACGGTAATTACAGTGATGTGTAAATAGAAATTACGAGCATACCTCCTCTATGACAGAGACTCTGAGTGTTATATGGGAATGCTCCTGCTCTTATTATTATTATTTTTTTTTTGCATGGCTGTGTTTCTGTAGTGATTCTTTCATTACCTAGCTCCCTAAAGAGCTGTTAAAACTCCATGCTGCAGTGGTTTTCGCAGTTATGAGCCTTCTTCTGATCTCTGTTAATCAGTCAAGTCGTCAAACGACTACTGAATCAATTCTTTCTTCTGATATATTTGACACTATCACTCCTCCTAACTATGAAAAATGTGCCAGGAGGAAGAGGTGCAGGCAATGAGGGGAGAGAACGGAAATTGAATTATGTTGTGTCATCAAGGAACTCGGCCTTTTGTTGAAGAAAATTAATATCTTTTCTCTCAAAATACAATTATGAAGTGGCCAGGCACCAGACAACTGGAAAAAATGAGAAAGAAATCAAGTGTTCCTTCCCCCTAATAAGTAGAAAACAAAGGGGCTAATTCAACTAGTGATGAGGAAGTGACCTGTTTGCTGAAGGAAGGAAATGCACTTGTTTTTCTGACTCCCTGGGTAAAGAAATCTGGCCTCCGTGTAGACAACAGAACCAACACTACCAATCGGAAAGTGCTCACGGATCCCTCAAAATGAGCTCTGTCTTCGTTTCCCAGCAGAAGCAGGTGGGTGCAGTGACCTGGCCATCACTGTGCTTCCAGCTTCCACTTGGTCTAGTGGGCAGATGCTAAGCTGGGAACCAGGACACCCACCTACAAAATGTGGTTCTCCCCAAATCAGCGACAAGGGGATGGAACAGCCATTCAGTCTCTCTACGCCCTAGTGACTTCATTATAAAGCAGGGGCGTTTCATGGCATTGTTACAAGGCTTAAACATAAAGGTATTCTATAAAATGGCTTTGGAGTAGCTTTAGGTGGCACAAAATCCAATGTATTGCTAATAAAATATTGTTAATAATAAAAGGATCTGTGGGTTCAAAGGAACTTATAAAAATTGTGATTTTTTAAAAAGCTAAATAATTATATTTAGTAAAAGAGAGAGTATTTATATCATATAGCTGTAGGGGACACACAAATTATTTTAAAATAAATATAGTTTATCCTAGCTCTGCCCGTGTGGCTGGGATGCACTTTGAATTTGCTGTCTAAGGGATGATGCAATGCTAAACATGCTTCTGGCAAGGCTGCTGCAGCACCTAAGGCATTTAATTTAAATTTAAGATTAGGAAATGTAAAGATATCCAGAACATGGAGCCTATTAGCATTTTAATTCATCCTTAGTATATTACCCACAGTTATTAGATTTGGGAGTCCTATCAGTGACCTTTATATAACGGGGACTGCAGCCTCTGGAATCTTCTACTAACTGAGAGGCTCACAGCTCCAACATCACAATCACTGTTCACTAAGAACTCTCCGGGGTGGCTGTGGTGACAGTGACCAGCTCAAAGAAGGCAGGAGATGGGAATAACACTCTTATTCACAGAGCCAGACTTCTAGTTCCCAGCAGAGGGTATGATGGTCCTGCCCTGCTTGTGGACATTTGTAATATGAAACCCGGCTTTCATGGATTTCAAATGGAGACTGCTCTGAGGACACATGACCCACCCTGTGGATGGATATGAAGTAGTCTTTAATCAACAGGATAATTCTAGTTTCATTATGAACTCTTAGTTTTGAAACAACATTGACATGTGCAGTTAAAAAACAAAAAGCTTGTACAGCATGCATCATAACCCTTCCTCTTCCCGTACATACAGGGACTCCCGCACACATGCTTGCTGCCCTCAGTCAGGTTAACCCAACCAGACACACAAGACAGGTGTGATGCACAAAGTGGCCTTATGTAAGATGGGGCAGGCAGATGGTCATTGAGAATGATTTCTGGGCTTCTCAGAAGGCCCCCATGCCCAAAATAATACCTCCTGCATCTGCTGGCTGATGACTGAAATTCCACAACTAGAGAGTCATTCCTCTGGTTTAAGATGTCTTCACCCCTGCAAGAAATATAAACACCACAAGAAGGAGAAACACTTTAAACCTGATTAGCCGTGAGTATCTTAGCGTGCATTCGTTTGTCAGCATTTTTTTCAGAGGCCAAGGGGAAAGGGTCCAGAATCTTAGAGGGTCAGAATGACCCTCTAAGGAGGAGGCATATTGAACAAAGGAAGGGACAACAGTAGGTGAAGCCATGAAAACAGATTCATAAACTCCACTTGTTTTTCAGTTTAAGTGTTTAAGACAAAGGCAATAGGACAAAAAACAAAATCAATTAGGCAGATATCAGACCCAAAACATTTCCAGGGTCTGGAAATTAGTTATGAGTCATGTCCTACTCTAAAGAAGTTGGCGATTAAAGGAAAGCTGCTCCTCTTTAACTAAATCTGCCTCATCCCCCAACCCCTTTAAGCTGAAAGATACCCCAAAGCACTCCAAGATGCTTTCTAAACCATTCAGATTGCAAGATAAGCACTTTGGGAGGCCAAGGCAGGCAGATCACGAGGTCAGGAGTTCAAGACCAGCCTGGCCCACATGGTGAAACCCTGCCTCTACTAAAAATACAAAATTAGCTGGGAATGGTGGCATATGCCTGTAATCCCAGCTACTTAGGAGGCTGAGGCAGGAGAACTGCTTAAACTGGGACCCAGGAGGTGGAGGTTGCAGTGAGCTGAGATCGCACCATTGACCTCCAGCCTGGGCTACAGAGTGAGACTCTTGTCTCAACAACAACAAATCCACTAATGAGGTTCTGCCCGCATAATCAGCCTACAGCTCCTAATACTAAGAAGGAGTGAACACCCTCAGGACCACTTACTCATCATCTACTAATAGAAATCCATTAGCCATCTTTTTAGGTACCCACCATAATGCTTGTGCCATGCTTCCACACCATAAGATAAAGCCAGAATGACCCAAAATGGCAACATCCCCACTTCTTCAAAGGAGAGGAAAGGAAACTTAAAAAGAAAGGCAAAGCCTTCCCTTCGGTTTCTCTCCTCCTTCCTTGGTGGGCAGCTCTGTATCCTCCAATGAGCTGCTTCTTAAAACTAACCAACCTGTTACCTTCTCTTTAGCTAGAGCCACGAGCCCCCCACCACATGTCATTTCATGGCTAGGGAGCTAAAATGTCATTTGCTTAAAGCAGATGTCACTGTAAGAGAAAGGCTGGGCTTCCTACTCCCTGTATCTCCCTAAGTGTCTGAACTCTCACCTTTCCACCAACACTAAATGTTTTGACTCATAAAGACAGTATCTTCTCGACAGTGAGCCCCCATTCCACTAATTACAAGTGAAAATCGTGCAGGTGCTCACCAGCCTGCAGAGTGCCTTTCTCTTCATCTCTTGTCATGAAAGCTTAGCCCTCTTTGTCCCTCTGCCATTTGAGCAATGTGAAGACCATGCTTTAAAAGCAAAGAAAGCTTACCCTTGACAAGCTGAAAGTCAGGTCAGCTTCCCCTGGGACGGCTGACTTAGGTCTAAGAGAATTCCAGGTTCCCGGCATGCCAACATATACGTTAAACTCAAAAAAGTGTCACACGTTATCAGTTATGTTTCTTTGTCACTAGCAGATGATAAAAACTTCTATCATCTGTGAAGTTGTTCCTATTCCATAAAAGTTACAAAAATCCCATTTCTCAAATGTATGTCACCAAACGTATTTATTTCTTTTGCATGAAAGTGAAGGTAGCCAACTGCTTCAATATTACTTATTATTTGTTGCGAATGCATAACATTCCCAGAAAATGAACCTTTTTAATCAACTCCTTTTAAAGGGACTATTTTTAGAATTTTTTTTAAAGAATAGCAAATGAAAAATGTAGTAAAAACATTTTTGATCATTTCTCACTTAACTGTTTTAAATCTATAAACTGAGATATCCTGTAAAGCTCAAGTCAAGTCCAATTATGGTGGTTAAGTAGAAATAGATGTCTAAACATGAAACTGTCATCATTTCCAAAATTAATCTATTCTTGATCATATGGTAATAGCAAGAAGCTAAATAACAGTAACATTTATGAGCTTGATGGCTTCTCTCTTCCATTGAGCTTAAAACATTTCACCTATATGTCCCTTAATTATCCTTACAATGACCCTTGGAGAAAGACAGTGATGGTGAACACTATGACTAGGTTAACTTTTTTAAAGATCAACAAACTTAGGATAAGAGTTTGATCATCAAAACAATGTCATAAAGAGACATTGTACAGAAGGAACAGCAATGTCCAAAGCACCTTACTCAGCTCTGCCCAGAGAACAGGAGCTACCCTCCAGCCAAGAAATGGCCACACCTCCTAAACCCAGATGTCTACAATCCCAACAGTGAGAAGTATTGAACATGAGCCCCACAGAGGCAAAACAGGAATAAATGAAATAAGGCAAGGTATTTCCCATTCAGACACAGAGAACCATGAGAAGAATTCTGGAATGAAGTCTCAGCTGTTATAATGTTTTACAGCCCCTAGTGACAAAAGACAGAAATCAGTCTCTTTCCACAGCACACACACACACAAAGCAGACCCATGTAACCTAGAACTGTGGAATGGAAGATAGAGAAGTGAACAAAAAAACAAAAATGATAGATTCTAAAGTTGCCCAGCGAGGGTTAATGATGTCACTATTTTTATCAAATGCTACCCATTCATCAGCCTGCTCCAATCTTTCTCCAGGCTGCCTACTGGTGAGAAAGGTGCTGGAGTTAGGACTGCTGGCCTTCTAGCCAAGCCACAGGTTGATTTCAGCAGACCCAGCTAGCCAGGGGGACCACCTCCTCCCCACTGCACTCATCCACATGCAGCCTGATGAAATCTGAGTGCTCACTCCAAACAAACTGCATTTCCCATGGAGAAGACTTTTAGGCAAGGGTGTAATTAAGTCAATTGCATCCCCTGACTAGAATCATCAAAATGTTTCATTCTTATTTTTTAAACATTATCCAAACTACTGATGTGTCTCCTCGGTTGTAGGGGGGTCTAAGAAATAAGTGATTCAAGGAGAAGAGAATGAACCACCTCTCACCTATCTTTTGGAAAAAGTTATCATGTTTTAAAATACTAAAAAAGTTTTAGTATTTTTAAAAAGTTTTCCATGTTTTAAAATACCGTCCTTTTCAAAACAACTAAAAAAGTTTTCCATGTTTTAAAATACTGTCCTTTTCAAACAGCAAAAACACAATTTACTTTCACCCAAAAGCATTTTCTGAATGCCACTGTGTCAGATGCTGGGGAGACAGGGCCATGATTGAGCCAACCTGCTGATGAGAAGACAACAGTCTCAGGGAAAGGAGAATGAGGAGAAGGGAAAAGGCGACCCATTCACCAGCAATGATAGCAGGCTGTGGTCAGGGCACTGGCAGGGGTAGACAGGGAATCCACATGGTTTCCTGCAGGAGACCAGCTTTCAGCTGGGTCTTGAGAATGGTTTCCTGCAGGAGACCAGCTTTCAGCTGGGTCTTAAGAAAAGGGCAGGTTAAGGAGAGGGAAAGGAAGACAGGATTAGAGGTACAAAATGGAAGGATTACTAGTAAGTGGCCTTTGGGAGTATTCAGAGGTTACTTTATCCTCTCCATACTATCTTATGGCTTTAACAAGGTGGAACTCTCCATTTAAGGTTTCATTTATGTGGTTTAACCACTGCTCACCTGTCATGGCTACCTCACTCTAAATAGGTTCCTCTGATCCCTTCCTAAGAGCAGATTTGGTTTAGAACAAATGCATGAAGGGTGGATGCAGAGGAAACAGAGAAATATTCTTTCCCTTTTTACAGTTTGCATCAGGCTGGCCCTAAGCAGCCTGCCTGAGACAATCTTTTCAGATACTGTGAGACCTGGAATAACACGCTAACATGCTCCGTAGGCATGGACTTGGAGCCATGAGGGTGAGCAGGAAGAAGGAGAGAAAAACATTCCCCAGAAACTCTCCTGCTTTCCAGAGCAGCAGCATAAGCAACTATGTATAATTAAAGAAATTTAATCAAACACTCCAATTATAACAATTGTTTTAAATTTAATGAGTCAAACTAATTAACATCTCTTGTTATTTATAGAGCAAATGATAAAAATCAGAAATTGTTTCTTAAAGTAAAGCAAGGTTGCTGAAGTGTACTTGCAAATTCCCTTCTTAATCTATAGACATAGCTGGTGGACTGAAAGGTAGAAAGATAGAGAGAGAGCATGGGGCAGAGGCAGCTCAGACAGAGAGAAGGTAAGGCTGGAGGTAGAATGTGGTAAAAAGGCAAGAATCTCCCAACTGGAGTCTTTTGAAGCCTTGAATTGTTGTGGTTGTGGTGCTATAGGTGTGATGGTGGTGATAGTGGTGGTGGTGGTGATAGTGGCAGCAGCAGTAGTGGTAGTAGTGGTGGTGGTGGTGGTGGTAATGGTGATGGTTATGGTAGTGGTGGTGGCAGTGGTGGTCATGGTCATGGTGGTGGTGGTAGCAATGGAGACAGTAGTAATGAAGGTGGTGATGGTAGTGGTGGTGATGGGTGATGGTGGTGATTGTGATAATGGTGTTGATGGTAGTGATGGTGATGGTGGTGGTGACGGTAGCAATGCTGGTGGTGGTGGTGAAGGTGGTGGTAGTGGTAGCAATAGTGATACTGGTGGTGGTAGAGTTGACGATGGTGGTTGTAATGACAATGGTGATGGTACTGGTGCTGATGGTGATGGTGGTGATGGCGGTGGTGGTTGTAGTGGTGATGACAGTGGTAGTGGTGGTGATAGTGGCAGCAGTAGTAGTGGTGGTGGTGGTAATGGTGATGATGGTTATGGTGGTGGTGGTGGTGGTGGTGGCAGTGACAGTCATGGTGGTGGTGGTGGTAGCAATGGTGACAGCAGTGGTGAAGGTGGTGATGGTAGTGGTGGTGATAGTGGCAGCAGTAGTAGTGGTAGTGGTGGTGGCGGTGGTGGTAATGGTGATGATGGTTATGGTGGTGGCGGTGGCAGTGGTGGTCATAGTGGTGGTGGTGGTGGTGGTGGTAACAATGGTGACAGTAG